TTTGATGGACAAATATACCAACAAATCAAAGGAACACCCATGGGATCACCACTCTCAGGACTCATAACAAAGATTGTAATGCAGCATCTAGAAACTACCACTTCCACACATACAGCCAAAAATATGGATACAATCAAAAGTATGTAGATGACACCGTCATAATAAAAAAGGAACAACTAGAGAAGACACATGAAACAACATCTTCAAAGGAATAAAATTCACAAGGGAAGAAGAAAACAACACACTACCCTTCCTGGATATCCACATCAGTAGAGGAAATGGCAGCAAATTAGAAAGACAAGTTTATTGAATAACAACCCACAGTAACCAAGTGCTCCATTACCAAAGTAACATCCCAACCTCCCACAAGAGGAGCTGTGTAAGAACATTATTCAGACAAGCACAAATGCACTGCAGCAACCCAGAACAGCAGAAAAAGGAAACAGATCACCTATACAGCATCTTTCAAAAAAATGGATACCTGTGTAACTTTATCAAAAAATGCCTGACCACTCAACCCACTACACCACAACCAACACAAGCTATGAAAAAGATAACACTGCCATACATCAGAAACATCTCAGAACCAGCAGACTATTACAACCACGTGGCATCACTGTAGCACACAAACCAACTAAAGCCCTCCAAAACATCCTAAATAAACCAAAAGACCCAGTACCCCAAGAAGAAAAAACAGGAGTCATCTACAACATACAGCGTAAGAACTGTAACAACCACCATGAAGGACAGACAGGCAGAAAGCTAGCAAAGCACATCCATGAACACCAACTAGCAGTCAGAAGACAGATGAAAACCCCTTAATCTCACAACACATGGACAGACTCAACCATAGTTTCAACTGGGAAACTGTCAGCATCTTAGACCAAGCTAAATGGAATTCCTGGAAGCTTGGTACTCAGACAAGTCAGCAATCAACAGGCACATAGAGATTAACAACATCTACACACTATTCAAAGAGACAATAAAAAGGAAACAAAAAGACCAGAATCCCTCCTTGCCAGCAATCAACGCCCAGATAAGCAGCGATTAACATCGGGATTAACAC